AATGTGTTTAGAGAAGAATAAGCAAGATGTTTCATGGAAACCAAACCCTAAAGGAGGATTGATGGAGTTGAGTGAGTTAGGCCCCCCAAAAAGAGAAGTTGTAGAAGTGGCTGTCATGTGAAAACTGAATTAAGCTGAATTTCTGCTACTCTAAAGAATAAGACATGAATGAATAAATTAAAATTACAAGAAGGCATGTGAATGTTATGAAGAATTTATTGCTGGTAAGAATAGCCCAACAGAGCAATAAATTATCTTGAGGAATCACAGATTTTCTGTCATTTGGGGTTTTAAGACAAGTCTAAGTGGTCACTTTTAAGTGAAGCTTTAGCTTTGGGTTTCCATACTATCTAGGTCTTGGCCTGGATCAATGGTTCTCAACCAGTGGGTTCTCAACACAGGTGTTTTGGCCTAAACTCCCAGAAATCCCAGCCAGTTGGGAGTTGAAGGCCAAAACATCTGGGGATCCACAGGTTGAGAACCACTGGCCTAGATGATCCTTGGGGTCATTTCCGACTTCATGATTCTATGACTGTGTCACTTACTTTTGGTTTGGTGCTATCCCTTGTGGCTGGACATCCCCTGATTTTCTGAGTAAACCTCTGTTGAATTGTCTTCTAAAAATCTTTGCATTCAGCAGTCAGAATTAGCTAAGGCTACTGTGATCTGAAAGACTATTCTTGCTGGTGGATGGGTGGAAGGTGTTGATTCAGGCAATAGAGAAGCAGTTGAAGGCAAGAATATTTGCAAGGTCTGAATTAAGAGAGTACAAGGTACACTCATTTGCTGGTGAAGTTACCATGCAGCAATATTAAATTACAGAATAGTTTCTCCCATATGGCACAACTGAACTTTGGAATTTATTGTTTTGCACTGTGCATAAAAGGGCAATTTACAGCTGAACACTCCTGACCTGATAAGTTGTTAGACTATGGACTGATAGAATCATATTTCAAGACAAGTATACTGCGTTACCATGGGAACCATATACTTATGTGTGATTTGGGGTTGGGGTTGTTTTTGTTTTTTGTACTTTTTGGCTTCGGTGTGATAATCATGTGGGAAAAATAGGTATATGAGTTGTATTGTTTGATGATATTATAATAGTTACTATTATTATTATTATTATTATTATTATTATTATTATTATTATTATTATTGGAAATATATTCAGGTAATTCATCCCTAGAGCTGTGGTTTCCAACGTGTATGTCCCCAAATGTTTTGGCCTTCAACTCCCAGAAACCATCATGGCAGTTTTGTGTGCCAAGTTTGGTTCAATTTCATTGTTCCTTTCAGAATGCTCTTTGATTATAGGTTAACTATAAATCCCAGCAACTACAACTCCCAAATGACAAAATCACTTAACCCCCCCCCCCCCCAACCCAAGCAGTATTCAAATTTGGGTGTATTGGGTATTTGTGCCAAATTTGGTCCAGTGAATAAAAATACATCCTGCATATCAGATGTTTACATTACGATTCATAACCGTAGCAAAATTACAGTTATGAAGTAGCAAGGAAAATAATTTTATGGTTGGGTTACCACAATATGGGGAAATGTATTAAGGGGTCGCGGCATTAGGAAGGTTGAGAAACACTGATTTAGAACGTCTAGGTTAACATGCAGTAATATCAGTGAGAAGGAAGTCAGAAGTGGAAAACTTGTGGCTCTCTATTACAGGACTGTAACTCACAACATTTCTCATTACTGGCCATCCTGGCTGAGGCTGATGGCAACAGGAGTATCAACAACATAATGAAGGCTGCAGGTTTTCTAAGCCACGTGATCCAAGTCCCATATGATTTAGACGTCCTAAGGGAAATGAAAGAGATGGGTTGAGAAAGCAGAAGTGTGGTGTCTCTTTTATCATTGTTTATGAACTGGGCAGGTTGCCTACCTTAATACTCTCCAGGCTGGCTGGTGGGGCTATTTCTATGTACTAATTCTCCACTCCAGATGTTGCCCACAGGCCAGGGGTAGGTTCAATACCATAAATTATTTCTCTTCCCAATACACTGTTTGTTTTTCTCAGAGCCATAAAATCCAGAAAAGGAGGAAGCTGCTGGTTAATATTTGAGTAAGCTGCTGGGAATATTGACCTTCAAAGCCATTGGTGTCCGAACAGCCCCAAAGCAACACTGAGCCAATGACGGGAATCACATGGCAGTCCAGATATTGCTGGACTGCCCCTCCCAGCAGTGTGAGCCAGCATGGGCAATGGTGAGGAATGCTGGGTATTGCAGTCCTGCAACATCTGGAGAGATGCCTAATTCATGCTCCTTCTCAAGTCTAGGATAGGCTTACTATCATGCAATCTTAGCAGCTCTTCTAAGGCACATAAGGACAATTTTTTGTTTTGTTTTTAAATTTTGAGTATAACAGTAACATTCAGTGAGCCTTTATGGCTTCTTTGGCTGAGATTCAGGTTTTTATTCAGTCCAAAAAAATTAAATTGTTATCCTTGTCCCAGTGGAGTCATAGATGCAGACAACTTTGTGTTGAAGGCTTTCATGGCCGGAATGACTGGGTTGCTGTGAGTCTTCTGACTTGTATGGCATTCTCTCCTGACGTTTTGCCCACATCTATGGCAGGCATCCTCACAGGTTGTGGGTTCTGTTGGAAACTAGGCAAGTGAGGTTTATATATCTGTGGAATGTCCAGGGTGGAAGAAAGAACTCTTGTCTGCAAGTGTGAATGTTGCAATTGGTTGGCTTGATTAGCATTGAATGGCCTTGCTGCAAGTTTCCAACAGACCTCACAACCTCTGAGGATGCCTGTCATAGATGTGGGTGAAACATCAGGAACGAATGCTTCTGGAACATGGCCATACAGCCTGGAAAACTCACGGCAACCCAGCAGACAACTTTCATTTTCGCATGCTTTATGGGAATGTCATACACTCCCTGGAGGATTATGAACTACAACTACAAATACAACGGAATTCCTTTTGCATGCTATGTTTACCAATTTTTGAGAAGTCAACATTTAAAAAAGCTAATTGATTTTCATAATTTTTCATCTTTCCTTCACAAAATCTATATGGAAGGTAGTTTGTGAAGAAAGAAAACAGAAAGATTAAGCTTTGTGTACTTTAAGCATTGTGTGTCTGATGTATTGTCGAAGGCTTTCATGGCCGGGATCATGGCTGGGTTGTTGTAGGTTTTTCCGGGCTATATGGCCATGTTCTGGAGGCAGTTTTTCTCCTGACGTTTCGCCTGCATCTATGGCAAGCATCCTCAGAGGGAGTGAGGTCTGTTGGAAGTAGGAAAAATGGGTTTATATATCTGTGGAATGACCAGGGTAATGTTTCAGCTGATCACCTTGGTTTGCATTCAATGTGTGTCTGTTTTCCAGTATGTAACTTTTGAAACTGTAAAAACAACAGAGAGAGCTAGAAAAATACATTTACTTGAAAACTGATAGTTTATGTGGAGCTTCCCTGTTCCCAAGGAATGTTGCTATGAAGTAGAAACAAAAATAATTTTGTGGCTGTGGGTCACCACAACATGAGGAACTGCATTCAGGGATTGCCACATTAGGAAGGTTGAGAACCACCAGTTTACAGTATCAGGACCACTTTCAGATTGCCCATGTGTTTCCACTGGGAAGAGATTCCCTTCCATTTACTAGGATTCGTGTTAGTTTCTCCTGCTTTAAAGCAAATAAGCAAGCATCCTTCCTGCAAGCACAGTGTCAATGGGTAACAGGAGTGAGTGGGCGTAAGGAGCTGTCAAGAGATTTATTTTTGCTAGCTCAACTGTAGAGATAAGATACGTTGAGCCTTTCCCTACAGTCATAAAGAGAGAAATGTGGAGTAACCGAAGCCCTTCAGCCTTCATAAGGGTCACTAGTAGTTTATTAAACACGTGACTAGGAGGATTTGGGGCGAGGCATTACATGCTACATGAGAGAGGAATGGAAAGTGTCCTCCTCCAATGTATTGAAAGAACTGTAAGACACAGAGCAAAATCTTGCAGCTCAGCAGATGTCATATTTGAATGCTCCTCCATTAAAAAACCGCAATTTCTGTGAGCATAGAGAAGCAGCATATTCAGTTAGTATTATTTTTAAATAGCTGTCATTCTCTGTTGTATGTTATTTTCCAAAGGGCAAATTCTTCACCTGCAATTTGATATGGAGCAGTCCAATAAGAGCTGAATTGTGGAAGTCTGCTGCTGAATATCTCCTTGGTTTCTGAAAACATGTAGCTGGGCTACACTTACCAAATAGAAAATAAAAACGCATAGAGTGTAGGGATGGGAGGGAAGGAATAACAAGGCCCAACTTCTATCCTTCTCTCCTCCCTTCAAATACATTTGTGCAAATGGAGGTAAGCAATGTTTTCTACTGTGCATTTGTTGTGAGCCGCACTGAGTCCCTTTGGGAGATACAGTTTCATTCATTCATTCATTCATTCATTCATTCATTCATTCATTCAACAGTGATGTATTGGTCCATCACAGATCAAGCTATGGGATTTCATGCAGCTCAGAGGAAGTCATTATAAAACAGTGCTTACGTATGTAAATAGGCTGATTGGGATATTGTGAAGGCAACGAGTTCTGCAATTTCTGGTGCCTTCCCCCCAATGCCACAGTTGCAATTTGTTCCAGTTGTATTTCTTCTCAGACCTCCATACAAGCATATTTCAAACAGGAACTTTGCCCAAATGTCATGTTTTCATCCAGATAAACAAGGATCAACACTGAAGAAGATGAACTGAGATGATGACCTGCCAAGTTGAATGCAAACTAGCAGACATATAGGGAGGTGGGGGAAGGGGTGCCACAGAGATGTGTCTGGTGGGCTTCCATGGGTGCTTGGTGGGCCACAGGTGGTGCAGGCCCCCGTTGTGAGACAGATAAGTTCCTGATTCTTCCTCTCCAGATGCACAGCTCAGAAGCACACATCAAGAGGGTGGCCTGACTCACAAGGACAGTATGCCACTGCATGTGTTGAAGGGACCTTGGCTGACTCGGTGGCTCTTCCCTTCCTAGGCACATCTGCCCTTATATGGCGAAGGCAGGTGGCGTTCCGTGCCGAGGGAAGGAGGGAACAAAGGTCACCCCCGTGCTTGCTTTATTCAGGTACAGTCCGTCTCCAAGGTGTCGCGTGCCCACCAAGCAGTCTCCACAACTAAGGTAAGCTTTCTCTTGCTGCCACTAAATGACCCTTCCTGATGTGGGGAGAGCACATCTCTGCACAGCCTCTGTCCTGTGCTTGCCTTTGCTCCAATCCTCAGCTTGAACACCAGAGTTGCCTTGTCCTTGGGCCTACGGAATGAGAACTAGCCTCGTCCTTTCCTCCAATTAGGCTCTGTGGCCCTTTCTTTGAATGGGAATTATTTCAAGCTGAGGTGCAGGAAAGAAAGGTTCTAGACTTGGAGTTTTCCCTTGATGTACAGAACATTTTGCTTCAGTTTTAACTTACCATCGTTCTATAATTGCAGTACTGCTTGGGTTCACACAGAGGCTTTTCATAAGTTGATAAATAAACTGCCCCATATAACTGTCTCAGCCTTGTTTGTTTGGTGAAAGTTGCTAGCTTAAGACAAACTGAATACCATAATGTCTGAGGAATCAGCAAATGTACCCACAAGCAACAGAAAAAATGCTTTCCACATGATAAAACAGTCCAAAATGAGACATGGCTAAAGAAAATCCAGCTTGCAAAAAAGGATCTTTCTCAAAGCATTTCAAATGCAAAAAAAAAGTGAACAAGTGGCTCTTCTCCATGCAATTCAAGTGCCACCCACTTCCAATGTGTCACACAGTGCCCTTCCTAAAAGGAGCCAAGGGAAAGTTAAAAGGAGAATTCTGCTACTGCAGATTGTGTCCCTTAATTGCTAGGGCTGGGCGGTTTCGTTTCGTTAATTCGTAATTCGTTAATAATTCGTTAATTTTTTCAATTACAAAACGATAACGAACCATTCTGGAGCAATTTTTTAAAAAAACGAATTTTTAAACACGTTTTGTAAATGCTTCGTATTTCGTTATTGTATTCGTTTCGTTATTGTTCTGAGGTCGTTTCGTTATTATTTCCGCATGTCTGGGGCAAGTTTTTTGTTTAATTAGTGAAAAAAAATTATAATATCACACCAACAGTCAACAACAGAGGGAGAGGGAAGCTTCAGAAGTTTTTGGAGGTTTTTTAGCGTATTTCGCCGTCTCGTCCGCCATTAACGAATCGATTCGTTATTGTTTCGGAAATCGATTCGTTAATTTTTTTTCACATTTACGAAATTTCGTAAATATCGAACTTTTTAAAAGGAAAATTTTGTAATTATTTTAAATATCGAAACAAAAAAACCCCCAAATACAAATCGATTTTAGAAACAAATTTTTCCGTTGTTACCCAGGCCTATTAATTGCCATTCACCAATAGGCATTTAATATCACTGCACTTGACTGACCCACATTCCTGAATTATGCTTGGAAGCCTCCCCAATTGCACTGTTGCCCTTCTTCCTGTAGACTTCCTTAATCTCCCCTATTGTCCAAGGTCTAGGCCTATTAAAGCTTGCTAGGGAGTGCTATGCTTTGCAACCCTAGCTTGTACTTTCTCCCTCAAGCTCCCCATCTCAAGCTAGACAAGGCATGTGAGGCTTACCCTGATTGCATCTGGGGGTAGTTCTATATCTTGCTAGTGGTTATGTGCCTTCAAATCATTTCCAATTTATGGCAACCCAAAGAAAAATCTATCAAAGGTGTTTCTTGACAAGATTTGTTCAGAGGAGGGATTGGCTTTGGTCTCTGAGGTTGTAAAAGTGTGTCTTGGCCAAGGTCAGCAAGGACTTTCCATGGTTGAGTAGGTATTTGAACCCAGGTCTCCAGAGTCATAGTCTACCATGCAAACCACTACATCACGTTGGCCTCTTGCTTATTGTCTCTTAAATTAATATGTAGTTGTGCCCCTGTAAGAACATACTGAAAGGGAGAATTGTTGATGTTGACTACTACTTGATTGTTGCAACTGGAAAGCAATGATATGGATGCCATGCTTACTTGTGGTATAGTAAACTATAAATAAATATGAATTTTAATAATCATTTTGTGAGACTTGCCATTTTGAGAATTTGGAATAGATACAAGTCCAGGTTATTCCTTAGAATACCTATATGGATTTCCATGCAAAAAGCATTTCATGGGTTCTATAGAAAGACAAATGAGAAGTGGCTGACAAATAAACATTAATTATTTGGGAAGAATGACCAGTGTAGATTTAAAACACAAGATAAAAATGGGCCACGAACTTCACTAATTTCAATATAAGCAGTTGATTGAAAGATTTATATAAGATAAAAATCTGGTTTTGAAAAAGACAAAACTAATAGTTGATTATTCAACTGTGTACAGATGATAAACACTGGGTTGAGAAAATGTGTAAAATGTTGTTCAAAACTAAATTGGAGGAAGAAGTTAATGAATGCTTAATGTGTTGTCAAAAGCTTTCATGGCTGTAATTACTGAGTTGTTGTGAGTTTTCTGGGCTGTATGGCCATGTTCCAGAAGCATTATCTCCTGATGTTTCGCCCACATCTATGGCAGGCATTCTCAAAGGTTTTGAGGGTTTTTTGTTTGTTTGTTTTTTTGAGATTAGGCAAGTGGGGTTTATATATCTGTAGAATGTCCAGGGTGAGAGAAAGAACTCTTGCCTGTCTGAAGCAAGTATGAATGTTGCAATTGGCCACCTTGATTTGCATTGAATGGCCTTTCAGCTTCAAGGTTTGGCTGCTTCCTGCCTTGGGGATTCTTTTGTTGGGACATATTGGCTGGCTCTGATTGTTTCATGTCCAAAATCCCCCAGTTTCTTTACAGACCTCACAACTGCTGAGGATGCCTTCCATAGGTATGGGCAAAACACCAGGAGAGAATGCTTCTGGAACATGGCCATACAGCCTGGAAAACCCACAGCAACCCAATGAATTGTTAAATAGGCCCCAAATTTTGGTTATATTATTGAGCTGGAGCCTTAGGGGAAAATGTGGAATTAAATATAAATTGTCCTTGGACTTCAGGAAAAACTTTCATAAAATGTTGTATAGATGATACTTAGCATCTAACACGGCTGTTGAAGATGCATAAGCAGGACAATATATGTTGGAAATATGAAACACAAGAAGGTACCTTCTATATGTGATAATCTTGTGAAAAGGTTAAGAAATACTGGAAGCTGATACAGATATTGATGCAAGATATCTCTGAAATTAGAATTCACCTAGAGCCAGAATTATTTTTATTGAAATTTACAAACTGAGCAAATGAAAGGGGTGAATTATAATGTGCTGCATTGTATAATTTTTGGCAATGAGCCTGCTAGAGACCTAAAAATGGAAGAATATTGATTTCCCAACAAAAGAAGAATGGATTTTGAAGACTTATCTGATGGCAGAGATTGTTTGCTTTAATCAAAGAGAAAGCTTTGTATAATTTACTGAAAGATTGCAAACCATTTGTATCTTTTATAAAGAAGAAGGAATACCAGTACTCATGGGGTCAGAAGGCTGAGTTTTCTTGTTTGATTTTTAAGCAGAAGTTCAAAGTTTACTTAAGATGTAATAAAAAGTCCATTGCAGTTTTATATTGATGTTTGGTTTGAAGAGTGGAAAGTAAGGAGAAAGGAGAAAAAATGAAAGTGTAAAACAACCTTAATTGATGTCGAAAGAACTTTTAACTGAGCTAAGATTTAAAAGAGACATACACAAGAAATGGAAAAGGAGGGAAATCACCAAAAAAGAATTCAAACAAATAACCAACATATGTAGGGAAAAGGCTTGTAAGGCTAAGGCACAACATGAGATCAGACTTGCCAGAGAAATTAAAACCAAGAAGAAGGGGTTCTTTGATTATGTCAGTACAAAAAGGAAATGGTAGGGCCTCTACATGGAGAAGGTGGTGAAATGCTAACAGGGGATAGGGGAAAGGCAAAGCTGCTCAACACCTTCTTCGCCTCAGTCTTCTCCCAAATGGAGATTGGTGTTCAACCTGAGTAATATGAAGCAGACTAGGTAATAGGGGAAATGCAACCCAAAATAAGTAAAGAAGTAGTCCAAGAATACCTGGCTACTCTAAATGAATTCAAGTCTCCAGGGTCAGATGAACTACATCCAGGAGTATTGAAGGAACTAGTAGAAGACATTTCAGAACCGCTGGCAGTAATCTTTGAGAATTCTTGGGGAACAGGAGAAGTCCCAGCAGACTGGAGGAGAGCAAATATTGTCCTTATCTTCAAGAAGGGAAAAAAGAAGACCCAATTACCTACCAGTCAGCCTGACATCAATACCAGGAAAGATTCTGGAGCAGATAACTAAAGAACGGCGCTGAGGGAACATACAACTCCTCTGTTACAGGGCCTTCTCAGTGGTGGCCCCTCACCTGTGGAATTCCCTCCCTACTGAAATTAGATCAGTGCCCTCTGTTTTGGTCTTCAGAAAGAAAGTAAAGACATGGATGTGAGACCAAGCCTTTGGGCAGTAAGCAGTGCAAAAAACGTACAGGACTATGTGCAGTTGACTCCTGGAAAGGCCTCAGACTTTGGCTTCTGGATTTGTGATTTTAATGTTTTATATTATTATGTTTTAATTCCATATTTAAATGTCTAGATGTTCTTGTTTCTCTATTTAATATGGTTTAATGTAATTTATAGTTATATGTTACAGTTGCCTTTATACTAGGTTTTTTATATGTTGTAAGGCATTGCATTTTTGCCATGAATTTACTGGAAACTGCTTTGAGTCCCCCTGGGGAGAAAAGCAGTATATATATATATATATATATATATATATATATATATATATATGAAGTAAATAAATAAATAAATAAATAAAGAGGCAGTCTGTAATCACTTAGAAAGGAATACTGTGCTTACTAAAAGTCAACATGGATTTCTCAAAAACAAGTCATGCCAGACTAATTTTATCTCTTTTTTGATAGAGTTACAAGCTTGGTAGATGCAGGGAATGCTGTGGATGTAGTGTATCTTGATTTCAGCAAGGCCTTCAACAAAGTACCTCATGACATTCTTGCAAGCAAACTAGTAAAATACTACTATTAGGTGGATCTGTAATTGGTTCAGCAACCAAACCCAAAGGGTGCTCACTAATGGTTCCACTTCATTCTGGAAAGAAGTAACTAGTTGAGTGCTGCAGGGTTCAGTCCTGGGCCCAGTACTGTTCAACATCTTTATTAAGGACTTGGATGAAGGTTTAGAGGGCGTGCAGATGACATGAAATTAGGAGGGATAGCTAATACTCCAGACGACAGGATCAGGATTCAAAAGGACCTTAACAGATTAGAGAGATGGGCCAAAACTAACAAAATGAATTTCAACAAGGACAAATGTAAGATACTCTACTTGGGGCAAAAAAAAATGAAATGCAAAGCTACAGAATGGGTGAGGGCAGGCTCAACAACAGTTGACGTGAAAAAGATCTTGGAGTCTTCGTGGACAATCTGGCGTCCTACGCCTCGCATCACCCACATTGCATCACCCTCACCCTGCTGGGAGGACAATCACAAGGGGGGAAGCATAGAGTATGTATGGTGTGAACGGCTCCCCCCCCCCAGATTGGGCAACATGGGAAGCCCCCAATGTTGCCTGGGCAGAGGCAGCACCCCGGTTCCACCCCTCCACACCCACAGAGCTGGCGCGACATCATGTAATGGGAACCATCTGGCTCCGTTTACGGCTGAATTTCACCTTGTGTTCTGCCTTTTCTGTGTCCCCTGTTAGTATTTTGCAATCTTCTTGATACAATGGGCCAACCATTTCCCTGTTGTTCCTTTTATAACCAAAACAAACCCTTTTATTGTTTTTAACCTGCCTAGCAAGCCTCAACCTGTCCTATGCTTTGGCTTTTCTGTTCTTTATTCCTACTTGCTCTAGGAATGTGTTTGAATTCCTCCTTGGAAATTACCCCCTTTTTTCCATTTCTTGTAAATGCCCCTTTAAAATTTTAGTTCAGTTGGAAGCTCTTTAAAAATCCATCTTAATTTCTTTAGGCACTTCTCATTTTCTGTCTCATTTAACTATTTGAAAGTCTGCCTCTAGTAACTTACTTGAAAGAAAGTCTTATTCATTATGAACTTCCTTCTCTTTTAGTATTCCTAACCACAAGATCACCCCCAGTATTTCTCTAAGTTTACTGTAATCAGTTTTCATAAAGTCTAGACTGTGTGTGTGTGTGTGTGTGTATGTGTGTGTGTGTGTATATATATATGTGTGTGTGTGTGTGTTTAGCCTCTCATTTCTGCTGTAAAACAAATTCCAGAAGAACGTTGTCACTTCCACTTAACAGTCCTGCCCCTTCCACTCCATTAACCAGGTAATCCCTGTTGGTTAAGATTAGAGTTAAAATAGCTGGTATCCTTGTTGCTTTTTTTTAATCTTCTGGTCAATTAAATTGTTTGCAAGGTATCTGAAGAATTCATTGAATCTTGTAGTCTTGGCAGAAGTCTACGAAACACCAAGATAATTCAAATTTTCCGTTACTACTACATCTCTCCTTTCTATTTGGTCATCTGTTCCAGGAAGACATTGTCCAAGTCCTCAGATAATCTTAAGATTCTATAGTATATTCCAACAATGGCTTTCCCGTTGTTTGACTTCACTTTGATTTTTACCCAAATGTCTCAACTTGGCTTTTGGGATTGAAGTCTTGGATCTCTTCACAGGTGTAGACAATTTCTATTTTGTCTGTTTCTCAGAAATAGGTTATACCCTTTGTTACTACATTCCAGTTATGACTCATCTCACCAGACTTAAATTATTCCTATTATATCATATTTGCTTTGCTGTGTTGAGAGTTCAAGCACATCTTGTTTATTTCCCATGTTATGTGGACATTGCTCCTGAAGGATTTTTTCTTCTACTATTGTTGGGTTCTTGTACTATTTGTCCAGTTATCTCTTTAACATTCAAGCACCACCATTTGAGCAAAGTGATTGTACAACAAGACACAATTAGCATATATGGAGCAAAAAATGCTAGACATCAGTTTGCTATTTTTTGCTAGTAACATGTCAGTGGCTATGGACAAAAATTAAAGAAGGAAGTACAAAAGCATGGCTGTAGCTGAATATTAAGAAAACAAAACTAATCATCAAAGAATGGGTCGCTGTTTAGAGAAAGTGGTAAAGGTATAAATGTAAAGATTTTCTGTACCTTGACTTAGTAGAAAAAATGAACATGGTGATTATAGTAAAGACACTAGAAAAAGACTAAAAGAACGGTCATAAATAAAAGAGGCGAGATCCTCAAGTCTAATAATATATGATTGAATACAATAATCAGATCATTAAGGCCATAGATTTCCTGATTTCTGTGTGTAATTTTGAAAATAGGATGGTTTTGTTTTGTTTTGTTTTTTGTGTCAGGAGTGACTTGAGAAACTGCAAGTCGCTTCTGGTGTGAGAGAATTAGCTGTCTGTAAAGACATTGCCCTAGGGATGACCGGATGTTGTGATGTTTTACCATCCTTGTTGGAGGCCTCTCTCATGTCCCTGCATGGGGAGTGAACTCTCCCCAGATTAGAACCGCTGACCTATTGGTCAGCAGTCCTTCCAGTGCAAGGGTTTAACCTATTGCGCAACTGGGGGCTCCAATAGGGGGTTTTCTTGGCTAGATTTATTCAGAGGAAATTTGCCATTGATTTTCTCTTCAGGTGAAACAGTGTGGTTTGCTGAAAATCACTCAGGGGGTTTCCATGGCTGAGCAAAGATTTGAAGCCTAGTGCCCTAATCCAACATGCAAACCATTATATCACACTGATTTTCATCCTCATTTTACCACCACTAGAGTTACTTCCACATTTTAATTGCTTTTACAGTTACTTGTTATTTCGTTTTATCCATTTTATGTTTTTACATGCATGAGTTTTATTCATTCTTTTGGTAACTCATCTAAGATAGAATAGAGTCGGAGGAGACTACACCGATCATCTAATTCAATCTGCATTCCATGAAGGATAAGCACAACCATAGCACTCTCAACAGTATTAGCTATCTCTCACGCAGCTTAAGATTGTCAGGAGAGGCCCTACTCTCGATCCTGCCACTCTCGCAAACGCGGTTGGTGGGGACGAGAGACAGGGCCTTCTCAGCAGTCTGTGGAACTCCCCTCCCCTAAGGACATCAGCCTGGCCACCTCCCTCCTGACCTTTAGGAGACAACTGAAGACCTGGCTGTGGGAAAGGAAACTTGAACATTACGACATTGGATTTATCTGGCTGGATCTTGGTTTTAGCGGCATTTTAATTGAATGTTGAATGTTAAATGTAGTTATTGATGACTTTTATAATGTTTTATTTGAGCCTAGTGTTTTAATTGAATGTATATGTTGACAGCATCACAGATGCTTATGTAAAGCCGCCCTGAGTCTCCTTGAGGGGGAAGGGTGAGGTAGAAATTAAGGAAATAAATAAATTAATAATAATAAAATTTGGTGTCATCTGCAAAACGGATAAGCATGCCCTCCTTCATCCAATAAATAGTAAAATAGTCCAATTTCTTGATGATATTCTCAAATTGTCAGAAAGGCAGTATGAAAGGAAGATTCTGAGACATAGGATGGATGCTAGATCTGCTTGTCTGTCTTCTGGCATTTTCATATGTTGCTTGGTGTGTATGTGTGTATGTATATGATTGTGTGTGCGAATGCACACACATATAAGAATGAGTTATATTTTTGTTACTAATGGCTTTTCCCATTTTCAGTGTCAGATCTCCCCGGAAGGGACCAATCACAATGGTGGAACTTAATGCCAAAGTCACCAAGACTCTGAACAAAACAACGCCTGGTCTCCAAATATGGAGAATTGAGGTGAGTAGAAGGATGAACAACAGGACAGACACACACCATATAAAATTTAATAAAGATCTCTTTTCTTGAATTTAGCATTCTCCAGCCTTTTGTAGACCCAGTTTGGAAGCTCAGAATCCCATATTTAATGTACCATTCCAAATGCCAAACTAGAGAATGACATTAATTGTCTGAATGTTATTGATGAATACATTTTAAAAATGCAACAGGAAATACTAAACCTCACTGGAATGAGAAGAAGAGTTTATTTTTCTTTCTGTTGTGATCACAAATACTGTAAACTCTTCCTACTTGCATTGATATTTCCATTGTCTAAATTGGTTGGGCAAAGTAGGCAACAGCTATAAAGAGTAAAGGGAGGCTACAGCATGGATCCAAAATGGGATTTCCTCTCACTGCAAATAGAGTTTTCAGAAGAAGGATTTCCTCCAGCAAAGCAGCAAAGAAAAAAGGTTGAAATTCTTTGTTTCCTTGGCTTTTAGTCTTTATCAGTTCCCTGGAGATGCTGTTTCCATTTTTAAAATGTGCACATCGAGTGAAAAGAAAGGGGATGGAAAATGTACATTAATTATGATTCACTATAAATTATTAGTACCCTATTTGTGGTGTGCAAGACTATTGATGGAAAGCATATATGTGCCTTTCAGTTTCCCGTCCTTGAGTTGATCCAGTAATCATCACATTAGTTTGCCTTCTTTTTCACATTATATCCAAACTAACATAAGCAATGAAATGTGAATATTTTTAAAATGTGTACAAAAATGTTTTAGTCAATGAGGGAAATGTGTAAAAAGTGCACAGTAGGAAAGTGTACACCCCAAATTAACACAACATTCAATGCAAGAGGGGGAGAAAACATCACGACTTTCAATGGCCTAAGGACCTTATCACATTAAGGGAGGGATTCACCACGCATTGTGGCAAATCTGTGGGATCCTGGCAAAGGGTGTGGAGAACCTGTCACCCCATGTCCTGCATTGCTCAACTTGCCACCAGCCCCATCCCATGAGAGAAAGCATGCACCACCCAGCTTCCCCCCATTGTAGCAAAGCTGCTGGAGCTATTTGGGGAAAACTGGGTTCAGCACCTTGGATAGGCCTCCAGAGGCCAGAGTAGATACCCTGCCTCATTGGCATGAGAGCCACCAGCCATCAGGGCAGAATCCTAGTATAGTCTAAGACCTTATCAGATGGGACAATTTGCCTGTCATATACTGCTTGCTCTTCCTTTTCACCACAGAGCCTGGCTGGAAGTAGATGTGTATTGTGTAATGGGCTCCATGGCGAAAGGGGAGAGCAAGCAGCGTATATCAGGCAAATTGCCCTGTCTGATGAGATCGTTAGACTATACCAGGATTCTGCCCCGGTGGCTGGTGCTCTTGTGCCAATTAAGCAGGGTATCTGTTCTAACCTCTGGGGGGCTATCCAAGGTGCTGAACCCTGTTTTCCCCAACAGCTTTAGCAGCTTTAATATAAATGAGGACACTGCCCCCATAACAATTCTGTCCTGAAATTAATTTTCCTTCAATTCCCAAATTCCTCACTCACACCCAGAGTGTTCATTGTTCATATTCCCTTTATACCTTTGCCTGCTATTTTTCTTCAGGTGCCTAACTGATATTGGTAAATGCTCAACTACATTAAATTTAAATTACTTCAGTTGCTAGGAATTTGAGGGCTAAAGGGATATTTGCGGAAGGATGTTCTCATTTTGTTGCATTCCCTAGCACTTCATTACGGAAATCTTAAAGAGGCTTGCCTAATCAGAGCTTACAATACATGCAGTCCTCTGTATCCATGGATTCTGCACCCACAGATTCAAATTTTGTTTGCGGCGGGGGGGGGGGGGGGGGGAGAGACACAGAATTGGATGGAGCAAGGCCCTCATTTTGAGTCCCAATTCTTTGGGGGGGGGAGTGGGGGTAAACCCAACTAAACCCAAGCGAAGATCCACTACCCCTGTAACATGTAAGCTGTTAATCACTAATGAGATTATATGGGTAACAACAGAAGCAAAACTGACAAGATATTCATATTCCTAGCAAAGGCACATTTAAGTCATTTGCCTTGTTTTTCAAGAGAAACACAGGAAGAACGTTCTCTGCAATGCAAGTTCTTCTGAGTGAGGGATCATTTGCCCGAAGCCAGATAACTTTTCTTTCTTTGTCTTTCCAGAGCATGGAGATGGTACCTGTGCCACCCAAAACATATGGAAACTTCTATGAAGGGGATGCCTACGTCATTCTCTCGGTAAAACAATTATCACTGGTGCAGGTCTTCTTTTGTTAAACATACTTGGGCAGGACAGCCAGAAAAAAAGACAGGTCAACTAAAGAAAGAAGCAGGATAGGGGGTGTCTTCTTGTCCCATTTTATTTGTGGGAAGTGGGTAATGCTTTGTGTCATAGTTGAAGAAGACACCTTAGATGGACATTTCCATTTTACTGGTAGGTAATGCATGATTGCAAAATTGTAACATTAATGCAGAGGGTACAAAGTTATTCAGATGACATCTTGTATTATTAACAGACTTCTGAAAAAGTTCCTTTTGAAAACTTTAATGTCATTATTTGCTGTTAATTTGACTTTCATTTATGGAATCTAATTAATGAGAAACCTCCACGGGCACCACTCATCCTCAGGCCTGGTCAGATCTTGCAAATTCAGGGTCATGCCTTCCTTTATTGCATCAAGCTGTTTGCATTGCAGTCTCCTCTTTTTCCTCCTTCATTCTATTTTATCAAATATTTTATTAAGTACCTTCTCCGTGGTGGCCCCTCAGCTATGGAACTCCCTCCCCAGCAAAATCAGAGCAACCTCCTGACCTTCAGAAAGAAAGTAAAACCCTGGTTATGAGACCAAGCTTTTGGATAGCAAGTTAGTGCAATATGAGTACATGGAATTGTGAAATGATTAATGAAATGACCTTGGATTTGACCAAAAGGCTTGGAGAGTGGGGGCTAACCTAATATCTCTAGGGAGGGCATTCCAGAGCTGGGGAGCCACCACAGAGAAGGTCTTCTCTCTCATCCCCACCAACCATACTTGAGAGGGTGTTGGGACCAAGAGAAGGGTTTCCCCAGCAGATCTCAGGATCCGCACCAGTTCAAAGAAGGAGATGTGGTCTCAAAAATAGGTTGGACCCAAAACGTATGAGGTTGTTGCTTCAAAATAAAACACCCTTCCTTCAATCTTCAGATTTGTAGCACTTCAGGGAGGGCAACAGGAGAACTATTCACACCTAGAATTCTTCTATGTGTAATGTTTACACATAGCTTTGCTTGCCCCTTCCCATTTTTTTGGATGCCCAAATTGTGTTTCTGAATGTTTAGTTGAAGTTTTAATTTACTGCAATACTAGAAACGAGGAGATTAAAGGGACATTTTATGGGGAGTGGTAGGATTTTTAATTAATATTTGCAATGCCCTGATTCCCCCCCCCCCCTTGCAGTAACTGACTATATGCATGGTTGTTGTTTGTGGAGCTGCTATGTGAACAGAGAATTGGACTCGATGGGACTTTAGTGTTATCGAGCATGCCTGTTCTTCATATTCCACTCATCTTGTCTTTATAATGTGGCAAGATATGTTTATCCAATGTTCTTGTTGCTTTTTTGGAATATGGTACCAATGAGCTACTTTATCAATTGCCTTTTAATGGGACGTCTAGGGATGTAAATACAGAATTGGTGTAAATGTTCTTTCTTAGTAGGCTCTTATGGATGGTTATAAATAAATCTAGCTCAATATGGGAATCAGATTCCCTACTGAGCACAGTAGAGCAAATATATCACTGAAGTTTGAGTGAGTGATACATAGAGAGACCTAGTCTGCTAAAGTTGCTGCTGCATTTTTTCTTTTCTTTTTGTCACTTCAACTCAGACCCATAAATCAGGGAGCACCTTCACTTATGATATCCACTACTGGCTTGGAAACTCATCATCTCAGGATGAACAGGGTGCAGCTGCCATCTACACTAACCAGATGGATGAGCACCTTGGTGGAGTGGCCGTACAACACCGTGAGGTCCAAAACTATGAGAGCGAGGCCTTCCGGAGCTACTTCAAACAGGGTATAATGTACGTAATCCTGTCTTTTGTGGCTAAACAGGGTAATTATAGCTTTTTTCGTGTCAGGAGCGACTTGAGAATCCACAAGTTGCTTCTGCTGTAAGAGAACAGGCCGTCTGCAAGGATGTTGCCCAGAGGACGCCTGGATGTTTTACCCTGGGTTCGAACTGGCAACCTTTCAGTCAGCAGTCCTGCTGGCACAAGGGATAATTATTATTATTATTATTATTATTATTATTTTATATCCCAACACCATCTCCCCAAAAGGACTTGGGGTGGCTCATAAACCACTCCAGGGTGTACATATAACATACAACAGGTAAAAATGGTACAAAGGTATAAAACAAGTCACATAAAATTATAACAACAAACCCTGTCAACACATGTAGCATAAAAACAAAATAATACAATTTTAAAACAACAGTAGATAAAACTAACTGTTGTCAATTCACAAGGTGCCAAGTTCAGGGTTTAAGCCATTGCGCCACCGGGAGTTGCTAATTATAGCTTCTTGTTACCCATCATTGGTTTAGGATGATGTTTTCTTACATGAAATTATAGCTTTTTGGTTCTGCTTTGTATTTTTATGTAACAAAATGTTTCCCTAAACCAACAGTGGGTAACCAAAACCTGGGTCCAAAACCAATCTTCCTGAGGTCCTAAGCTGAGTCTCCAGGAATTTCCCCTGACAGTACTTTCACTTTCCTTTGACACTGTTGCTTGGTGGTTTCCTACTTTTCTACAAGGTTCTCCCATTTTATTAGATTGAACTATCTCTCCCAACTCAATAAGACTTTAAGGTTTAATGTGCTGGCATTTTTGGTCTCGCCCTATTGCTTTTAGTTTTCTCCATCACTGAAACATTGTCTCCAGAGAATTCTGATTAGGCTGGTATTTTCAGATCAATTTTCAGTCTTACAAGGTAATAAATAGGAAGAAGCCATATAGCAACCTGTTCTTCTGTAGTGAAACTGCAATGACATTGAAACAGAGGCAAATTAGAACTATGGAACCATAGAAGCACATAGTAGGAAGAGACTATAAGGACTGTGTAGTTCAATTCCCTGCTGTGCAGGAATCAAAGCACTCCTGACAGATGGGTATCTCGCCTCTGTTTAAAAGCCCCCAGAAAAGGAGTATACTCCATTGTCCAAAAGCTCTTACCATCAGGAAGTTCTTCCTAATGGTTAGGTGGAATATCTTTTCCTGTAGTCTGAAACTGTTGCAGTATGTTCTAGTCTGTAGAGCAGCAGAAAACAAGTTTCCTCCATCTTCAATATGGCATTCTTTCAAATATTTAAACCTGGATATTATGTCACTTTTTAATCTTATCTTCACCAGGCTAAACATGCTAAGCTCATTAAGCCACTCCTCATAGAGCAAAGTTTCCAAATCTTTCACCATTTGGTCATTGTCTTCTGGACATGTTCCAGATTAAACATGTTTCTGTGAGAGATGAAAAGATATTCATTATCTGAAAGGAAGACACACACATATAGTTGCATCAGGACACCAACCAGAAAGTGTCAATTGTGCATCAGCAGAGTCTGTTATGTATCAGGACACTTTTGCTAGTGTTCCTTTATGCATTTTTACAATTCACTCACTGGGTTTCTTAGAAAGCTCTGCTGCATAGGTAAGTGTATGTAAAGTTTCATAATGTACACTATGATAGAAGATACTAGCCAGAAGGAAACTTTTTTAATGATGCTTTTGGTCTCCTTTTTATGTGAAGGACAAGGATAGTCATGTGTGCCTGACCATTGTTGTCCTGGCCTCTACTTTTTGGGTCAAAACTATCCAAAAAAGAGATGGTTTTTACTGTTTGCTTTTGTTGGCATAAGTGTTTGATGTTGCAACTGTGTAGCAATCCTCTCCAACCCATAACTTCTCATATAGGTTGCATTACAACTTCCATGGCCATTTTCCACAGCTCTGTTGGCTGCAGATGATCACAATTGTAGTCTAATACAAATTGAGATCTTCAGATTTGGAAAGGATGCAGAACAAAACAGACAATGCCTATCCATCCATGTTAAATGACAATAGATCTTGACATTATGGCAATGAGTTCCAGCTGGTTTTTGATTATAGCTGGTTTTAATTATTGTTTTATTATGTACTGTAGTTTTATATGATGTGTTAAAATGTTTGTATCTGTGATTTATATTTATTTTGTATCATCTTAGATTCATGCGGCATCGAATTGCTACAGAGTGTTAGCCACTCTGAGCCCCTAAATGAGGGACAGGGGGCGGGGTATAAAACAAAGCAAATAAAATAAATAAATTCATCCCATCATGCAGATTTTATGGCTGGGAATGTGGAACTGCACTCCACACCCCACTACAGTGTAAATCTTGACCCTGCATTTTCTCCACAGCTACAAGAAGGGAGGAGTGGCTTCAGGCATGAAGCATGTGGAGACCAACACATACAATGTGCAACGCCTCCTGCATGTCAAGGGCAAGAAGAATGTTGTGGCTGGAGAGGTAGGTCAACCACAGAAGGCAGGCAGCAAGGAGAAGAGGAATGGTAATGGCTAATTACTTAGTTCCTACTTGAAGTGATTGCGTTATGGGAATCCGGGCTCTTGAAGATGAATTTGCTTCTGGGTGATCCATAAAACTGCAGATTAATCCTGATGAAGTGGCCAGTTTGTCATCCGCAAAGGTATATTCAAATCTTGTATAACTTAAAGTTTGGGTAAGTTAGTTTTTGCACTCAAATACTAGCTGGGTATTCTGGAAAGAGTCATTCAGAAAAAAATCTTCCTAATCACTGGTGCAAATTACCCATTTTGAAGGTGAGAGATATTCACCCTCTTATTACAACAAAGTGTCATATCTTTTTGTGTATGTATGTGTGTTTTCCTTTCATCCCATTAAAGTTTCCCCATATCGAAAGAGTCCTGGTCTACTGTATTTAAATAAACTCAAATAACTTCTACCACAACCACCACTAGATGATGTGCTTCTTCTTTTTGCACAGGTGGAGTTGAGCTGGAGCAGTTTCAACTTGGGAGATGTGTTCCTGCTGGATCTGGGCAAGCTCATCGTCCAGTGGAATGGTCCTGAGAGCAACCGGATGGAGCGACTGAAGGTGCTGCAAAGGGAGGGGAGGGAATGGATGGAGGGTGGAAATGGAGAAGCTGAGTAGAGACCTGAGATGGGCAATTTGATCCATAGGCTCTATAGAGTGTGGTGGGAATCTGATATTTGACGTTTTTAAAATCCCCAGATATCATATCAACCCTATTGTAAAGTAATAGTGGAATGAATTCTGGAATATTTTGAGAATCTGTGATTTATTAATGAAGGATTATTCTATACAATTGGTATTTAGGACTTCTGGAGCCAGTTCATAGTGGACAACTTTCTGGTGCTGAACCACATTGTATTTGTTGGTATTAGCATGGCAAACAAACAGGCTCTTGTCATGGCTGTAATTGAGGTCTTATTGGTTTGGTAGAACCTTCTGAATCACTGACTCAGTCTTTGAGAGGTCAGGGTTACTGCCACACCAAGATGATGTGACAAAGCATTATAAACCAAAGGACAGATCTAGTGAAAATTCTTCACATTTTGTGTATGTAGACTCAGTATTCACAGAATGTGATCTCTGTGATATATGGAGACACCAGCATGGAAAGGAGAAACACTATCTCTATTATTCAGATAGACATAGATAATCATATAGACTATATTTTGATTAAAAATAATTTGGGCTATGTTATGGACACATAAATTGGATAAATCATAGAATCATTGAGTTGGAACAGATCTCCTGGACCATCCAGTCCAACCCCCTGCCAAGAAGCAGAAAAATCAAATTCAAAGCACCCCTAACAGATGGCCATCCAACTCTGGATCTCTGATCAAGTTCCCATATATATACAACCTATACAATCAATTTGGGTGTCCCAATAAGTTTCACTTTTGCTCTTAATTATTTGGAAAGAATGTTTTTTTAATTAAAAAACTGGATAAAGAGAGTTATTACAAACTATATCGAAGACCGGGTTGTTTTAGGTTTTTTGGGCTGTATGGCCATGTTCTAGAAGCATTCTCTCCTGACGTTTCACCTGCATCTATAGCAAGCATCCTCAGAGGTTGTGAGGTCTGTTGGAAACTAGGAAAGTTGGGTTTATATATCTGTGGAAAGTCCAGGGTGAGAGAAAGAACTCTTGTCTGTTGGAGCTAAGTGTGAATATTTCAATTGGCCACCTTGATTAGCATTTGATGGCCTGACAGTTTTTAGGTGTGGCTTGTTAGTGCCTGGGGGGGGGGGGGGTTGTTGAGAATTCAAAGACCATTTAACAAAGGAAATGTCAATTCAAACAGTATAAAAGGCATTAAAAACAATTGTTAGCTGGGCATGTCTGATGATGTCAATCAATTTAAAAGACGGAGTAGGACTTTCTGTGCCACGCTGTCATGTGTATAAAGACACACACTCATACATACAGCCTGACCCACTTATTGTATGTGTACTTCCCATTAGCCCAAAGCTATGCAGGTCCCTCCTGCAACCTTCTGATAGGGATGTGTTGTGACCTATTCTCCACAGGGGATGACGCTGGCCAAGGATATTCGGGACCGGGAGCGTGGTGGCCGAGCACATGTAGGTGTGGTGGATGGTGAGAATGAAGCTGCTTCTCCTGGACTCATGAAAGTCCTCACCTATGTGCTGGGAGAGAAGAGGGATATACAGCCAGCCATCCCAGATGCTGTGGTCGACCAGAAGCTGAAATCTGCTCTTAAACTCTACCAGTGAGTGACTTCTGGCATGCAGTGCAAAAGACCAACATAAAATGTTGAAGAGTTCAAGTGGAAAGTGCAACTGATGGAGCAGAGCTTGGAAAAGTTACTTTTTCAGATTACAGCCCCCAAAGTTGGGCACATTGCTCTGTGCTAGTTAAATCATTCTGGGAGTTGTGGTCCACATAATTAACATTACCAAGCTCTGTAACAGAATGAAAAGCCAATCTTTCGTACAAGCAGTAATGGTAGTAGGAGATGCCAATGGCATAACCATCCTGGATACTGGTTAAATAAACAAAGGTCCTGTGTACAGGTATTTTAATATATCTGTCGTTCTAATAAATGCTTCTGTTGTGAACATTTGGCTAAATGTTACCTTCATGGACATCATTCTGTCCTGTGAGTGGATTCCATTAGAACATAATTCAGAATGATTTAGTGAAGTCTGTGACGACTGTGAGAAAATGGGATGTGAAATTTAACCAGAGCAATATTGCAAAGGAAGTGGCATTTCATATAGGCTTCTTGGGTTTCAGGTGATTTGGCAGGTAGCATTTTCAAATGTTTCTGGACATCAGGGATGGACAATGACTGGGGAAGGATTGGAATCCTAAAAGTTACTCTACAAGCTCTGCACATTGGTTGCCTAGTCCTAGAATAACATCTTGTTCTGTGTTTCCATCCAAGTGTCTGTGATGCAGAAGGGAATCTACTCATCCAGGAAGTTGCCATCCAGCCCCTCACCCAGGACCTCCTGAAGCATGAGGCAAGTGGCTTCTTTGGAGAACTAGTTGCACTGGCATAAGCCAGAGGAGTGGCCCATGCACACATGTACTGCGAGGTGTGTGGAGGGCACATTTGCTAACTGAGGGAGAACAAAAGGCATCCATCACACCAACTCCAAAGTACATAGCATCCAATGGAATTGTTATTTTGCAGCAAAGAGTCCACTACCACTCAGCACCTCTTTTCATATCTAGCAAGGAAAAGTGAATAGCAACCCATTTCCTTCTCTTTTATGACACTTAAAACCTATTACCCAAGGCAGCTGCTTTACTTGCCATAATGAGGAGTCCCCGGTGGCACAGGGGGTTAAACCCATATACCAGCAGGACTGAAGACCGACAGGTAGCAGGTTTGAATCCGGGGATAGCACAGATGAGCTCCCTCTATCAGCTCCAGCTCCTCATGCGGGGACGTGAGAGAAGCCTCCCACGAATATGGTAACACATCAAAACATCCAGGCATCCCCTGGGCAACGTCCTTGCAGACAGCCAATTCTCTCACACCAGAAGCGACTTGCAATTTCTCAAGTTGCTCCTGACACGACAAAAAAAATTGCCATAATGGTAGTCTCATACGAGAAAGTAATCACATATGTGGGAATGTGGGTTTCCCCCTCAAAAACATTCACTTGTGTGTGTGTGTGTGAGAGAGAGAGAGAGAGAGAGAGAGGGAGGGAGGGAGGGAGAGAGGGAGAGAGGGAGAGAGGGAGATGTTGCCTTATCCAGATCCTGTTTTGCCTTCTGTCAGGACTGCTACATCTTGGACCAGGGTGGCATGAAGATCTTTGTCTGGAAGGGAAAGCTGTCCAGCAAAGAGGAGAGACAGCAAGCCATGACACGGGCCTTGGTGAGTGAAGGCAGAGGTGAACATACCTTCCTTGGGAGAGAGGCATGGCTGAATATCTTTGCGATAATGGAAGAGAACCTCCACTTTTAAAAAACATATCCTGCCTTTTAAAAAGACTGTAATTCTTATGTTTCAAATATTTCAGATTTTGACTGGCTAGAGTGTCACTAAACCTCACAGGCTCTCCATCTGAATCAGGATAATATTATTGTTGCCTACCTACCTACCTATTTTCCTTTTAGTCCCTTCCATTTCACAGTGTTTAGGAAGATAACTTTAAACCAAATGACACTTATACAAGAATAAAGTAATGTTTAGAGTGTTGGACAGTTTCTGTCCCCCCACTGAGATAGGAAACCCACTGGATGAAGTTAAATGATATGTACCATCTGACCTAGCTCATAAGGCTTTGTGAAGAAGAGTGCTGTTTATACTTTCTTTAGTTCATTGGAGGAGAGCAGTATAGATATAAATTAACAACCAAACAGGATAAGCATGACAGGTGGCACTGGGGAAAAATAACATCCTCTAATCATATCCACAAGGCCATTTTACAAGGAAGCAGTGAAAGCTAAGATTAATTGTACGAGGGTGCTGAATTCCAGGAGGGAAATCTTCCTTCAACTGTTACTGTAAAAAATGAAAGTAGGATAGTTCTTAGTTTAGCAACCTTGGCTGCTGGAAATGAAACGTTTTTTAAAGTACTGTAATGGCTTTTGTTTGCTTGCTTTTTGTTGATGTTAAAGATTTCGCTTTGGTAAGTCTCCAGTCAGCCTGGGCTAACCTACAGAGACTTTAGAAGTAGCAAAGACAGATTAAAGTACCGTGGAATCTTGATTTAAGACTGTCCCAACCTAAGAGTGTTTTGAGTTAAGAACTGCTGCTCAGCCCATGTTTTGCTTTAACATACGAGCAGCATACGAGCAGGGCTTCATGGTAGCAGCCTCCATGCCTCATGTCTCCGTGCCTCGTGCCCTTGTTTGCTTTGGGAGTTTGCTGTCTGCTTTGCTCTTCTCTACTTTGAGGAACTTTGGGTTAGCTGATTTTGTGTGTTTTTTTTTATTGGTGTGTTTGAAGAGAGAGGGTAGAGAGAGCAAGAGAGGGATGCTTTGTACTTCCTTGCCACAACTTTGTGCTTCTACAGTTAGGCCACAACTTTGTGTGCTTACCATTTTGTTTTTATTGTTACATGTGAATGTGCATTTGTACATTATTTGTTAATATAAGGTACATTTTCTTATTTAAAAACATGTAACATACAGATTAACAGCATTTCAATGACACACAAATTCGTGAAGCTATCCATATTTTTTGCAGTGTAATTAGATAAACATAGAACTAGGAAAGAGTGAACATGGAACGGCGTAGACAATGCTTCTGGAAAATGAGTTAAATCAGGAAGTCACTGGTGACTATGTTTTTAATGATTTTTATATGGTTTTTATAATGTGTGCTCAATGTTTTTATGACTGTTGTGGCATCGAATTGCTGCAAATTTGTAAGCTGCCTCGAGTTGCCTTTGGGCTGAGAAAGGCAGCATAGAAATACTGTAAATAAATAAATAATAAATTCAATGAGAAAATTCACTTTGAGATAAGAGAAATTTGAGTTAAGAGTTTGGTCACAGAATGAATTAAACTCTTAATTCAAGGTATCATTGAGTTAGATATTTTACTGCTCTTTGGAAAGTTGACATCTGAATTTGTTATTTGCAAAGATAAAACTGCAATAAGGTTGTTCCATAATTTCAAACCTCTCTTTTTGTGATGGTTCTCCTACTGCACTCTAGACTTCATTCTCTTTTCCTTTTTAGGGTTTCATCAAGGCAAAGAACTATCCACCAAGCACCAGTGTGGAGACTGAAAATGATGGCTCTGAATCAGCTGTCTTCAGGCAGCTCTTTCAGAAATGGACTGTCCCCAATCAAAGTGTTGGCTTTGGCAAGACCAACACAGTTGGAAAAGTAGGTAAGTGCTACAGCCTTGTCATGAATTGGCTCCTCTCATGTTTGGGAACAGGACTTGCATTATATATCTCTTTGGGGATCCTTTGTAGCCAATCTCTTGCTCAAAAATGGCACAATCCCAGGATGTTCTAGTCTCCCCAGAATAATTTTTGTTTGCATATGCACATGCCTTGAATGGTGTTTGGTTTTTATAAAGCATCTTCTGTCACGTGACTATTAAAGGTATCTTCAGCAAGCCCTTTCCCCTATTTTTCAGTTGCACAGGATTTGTGTTACAGATGAATCCACAAAATCCTAGAACAGCATTTGGTATTATTAGCCAATGCATGGCAACATGTTATTTTTGGCTGTGGCAACCATACGTTACTGGGTTTCTTTTCTAGATAAATACATTCCACCAACCTGGCAACACCCATTCATAGTTTGTTCTAGCACAGTTCAGGGGCTACAACTTGATCTCTAAATTTACCCACGAATGTACCTTTCCATCATTTTCTCAACAGCCAAAGTAGAGCAGGTGAAGTTTGATGCTACCACTATGCATGCCAAGCCTGAGATGGCTGCCCAGCACAAAATGGTGGATGATGGCTCTGGAGAGGTGGAGGTAAGAACTGGGCCTGACAATTCTTTCTTCAGCTGCTGTTGGAGGAAACATCGAGCTTAGATTTTTCCTCCAATTGCAAAATGAGCTTTGGTTGTGGTTTTATAAAAGTAGCTTGAACCTGAAGGTTTATGACTAGTAAGACTGGCTTCATGTAAACAAGCTTTGTACTCCAGAGGTGGAATCAGGATGGAATCCAAAGCCTTGGAATGAATCAATCTGCCATTCTGAAATGACAACAAACCATAAATGAGTTACTGTACATGGCTATGGAGAAGACGTAATATTAATTTTATATCATAGAATTATAGAGCTGGAAGAGATCTCGTGGGACATCCAGTCCAACCCCCTGCCAAGAAGCAGGAAAATTTCATTCATATAACTATAGAGACTTCTGAGAGGGCCACATTTGGCATTTCCAGCCTCTTCACAGTAGTTAGATCTTCATCGTAAGATCTACAGAGACACTTGCTGGAACACCTCAGCAAGCGAGAGTCCAAAAGTGGCAGGCTAAAACCCAGAACCACAATCAATGGCTGATACCAAATGAGAGACTTCCTCCTGGGCACACAGAAAACTGGGCGACTTGGAAGGCACTGAACAGACTGCGCTCGGGCACCACGAGATGCAGAGCCATCCTTAAGAAATGGGGCTGCAAAGTAGAATTCACAACATGCAAGTGTGGAGAAGAGCAAACCACAGATCACCTGCTACAATGCAACCTGAGCCCTTCCACATGCACAATGGAGGACCGTCTTATATCAACACTAGAGGCACTCCAATTGGCCAGCTATTGGTCAAAGGACATTTAGTAGCATGCCAAGTTTGCAAACTTTGTGTGTGTGTTTTTTAAAAAATACAATACAACTCTTTATTTGCTCATGACATGATAAATAAATAAATAAATAAATAAATAGTAGTTTTCAGAAGGACCCTTACTAAAAGACCAGTAAGAACCGCCAGCAGCAGGAAAATTACTGACTTACTGAAGCTTTAATGGTGTGATGTGAAACTGACCCTGAGTTAAAAGACAAATTAGGATGCAAATCCTATAAGGTCTCTGTTTAAAGGAATGCCTCTTCTGTTATGACAGTTCTGTTTAGAGAATATTTTGCTTCTATTCAGTACCTTCAGCATCTCAACTTGACTGTGGCAGAAGAGTGAAAGGACATTGAACCAAGTTACTAACTACTACAGGTTGTTCATTTTTGAACACTTGAAACAAGCATCCTCCTCCTCTGTATTCAGAGATTTCATCAGTATTTCACTTGTGTTTGCTTCTAGCCTTCCAATAGTATTAGCACAGGGATACCAAAGGGTGAAGAGATGCTTCTGGCTCTGTCAAAGTACAAGACTGGAGATCCCAAAACTTTAAAATGACCTCCTATGCCCCACTGCAGCATTTCTATTTTGGTGTTATGACTTTAACTGCATAGATTGATGCTTTTCACTGTGATTGTGAGATTTAGTGAAGCGAGTTTGGTCTTTCTTTTAGACAAAAGATGAAAGCTAAATGAGCGAAATGCTTCAGTCATTGTGACGCTGTACACTTTTTCTTTTCTTGCACTTATACAGAATAGAAAAATACATATATCCCTGCTTTTGTATTCATTGCTTCTAGATGCCATGCTGTGAGTCCTTTTATTGCATTCCTTGGGATGCAACTTTTCTCTCAGCTGGGAATAAGAACTCCACTGTATGTAGGGATGGAGAAAATTGGTTAGATTAAAAAAAAATTGTAAAATTATCTTGCAGCTTGCAAGGTGCATTGCAAAATAAGGTATCCCATATCTCCATTATGCACACATCAGTGAGACTTGCTGTGCATGTTGAAGATATAACACATCGAATTATATGTTTTAAAAACCATTTTATTGTGTACAGTTTAAAACTCCATTTAAATTTCCTTTAGTTGCAGAGCAGGAGTGAACAAAAGCACACAAACTTTTATTTGAGGAAGTTGTGCCAAAAAGCAGTTATAACAAAGTAATGCAAATGGAGATAAAGAATATCAATGGGTATCAGTGAAACACAATACTGCTAAGATAATGCTCACATCCTTAATTGAAGCTGGAGCCCCGAGTGGCACAGGAGGTTAAACCACTGAGCTGTTGAACTTGAGCTGTTGAGCTGTTGACTGGAACATTGGTGGTTCAAATCCGGGGAGCAGGGTAAGCTCCCACTGTTAACCCCAGCTTCTTCCAACCTAGCAGTTCAAAAACATGCAAATGTGAGTAGATCAATAGGTACTGCTCCAGTGGGAAAGTAACTTCACTCCATGCAGTCATGCCAGCCACATGACATTGGAGGTGTCTACAGACAACCCTGGCTCTTCAGCTTAAAAATTGAGATGAGCACCACCCCCAGAATCGGACTCAACTAGATTTAATGTCAAGAGGAAACCTTTACCTTTACTTTAGCTGAAGCTGGTTGTTACCAATATAATATTATGGACTGGACAACTGTACCCATTATCTATCAGATATGTTTGTAGCTATATGTCTACTCTTCATGTTCTGTTTGCCTTCAAAGGTCTGGCGAATTGAGAACTTGGAACTGGTGCCAGTAGAGAGCCGCTGGCTAGGGCATTTCTATAGTGGCGACTGCTACCTCATCCTCTACAAGTACCAAGTCTATAATAAGATGCACTACATCCTCTACATTTGGCAGGTGAGCAAACCAAGGGGGCATGGGAGGGTGAGGAATAGGCAATGGAAAATGAATTATTGGTAGAGGAAACAGAGAGGTGACAGAAACATGATTTTGTCTACATGTCATCGCTGAGCCTGGAACCCCAGGTTTCGGTGGTGACCAGGGAGCATTTGCACAGCTAAAGCTTGTGCGCCAGCTGCGCCCATACCTTGGGAAGTCTGACTTGGCCACGGTAGTCCACGCTCTGGTTACATCCCGTTTAGACTACTGCAACGCTCTCTACGTGGGGTTGCCTTTGAAGACAGCGCGGAAGCTCCAACTAGTCCAACGCTCGGCAGCCATGATTTTAACAGGAGCGGAGCGCAGGGAGCATACAACCCCCCTGTTGCGCCAACTCCACTGGCTACCGATCTGCTACCGGGCTGAATTCAAAGTGCTGGCGTTGGCCTTTAAAGCCCTAAACGGTTCGGGCCCAAGCTACCTATCCGACCGCATCTCTGCCTATGAACCCACCAGGACTTTGAGATCTTCCAGGGAGACCCTGTTCTCGATCCCGCCTGCTTCTCAAGCTCGGCTGGCGGGGACGAGAGATAGGGCCTTCTCGGTGGTGGCTCCTCAGCTGTGGAACGCCCTTCCTACGGACATTAGACTAGCACCATCTCTAATGGTATTCCGCAAAAAAGTGAAGACCTGGCTGTTTGTTCCAATAATTAGTGCAATGATTGGTTAATGAACACTGGAATGGAACAATGGATGACGAATCTGGAACATGTTTTTGATGACGAGACGACAGTGAATGGGTATTGTAGTAACTGTTTATTAATTGTGTAATGTGTTAGGTTGTTAACTGTTTCTATACTGTAGCACTGAATTTTTGCTGTTCGTATTTGTTGTGAACCGCTGTGAGTCGCCTTCAGGCTGAGAACAGCGGTATATAAGTAAGGTAAATAAATAAATAAATAAATAATAAATGTCCCTGAGGATGTGAATGAACTGTAGGGATATTCAAAACAAACTGAGGACTAGACATTTCCTTTCTTATCCCCCATTTTAAGGATAGTGAAGATGACAAGCGATCAAGATAAAAGCCCCAAATAAACAAGATTGGAAAGGGCCGATCTTGTTACAGCAGTGCAAAAATATTACCACCAAAATCCTTGAATACATTGTCAGAAAAAGGCATGTTAACCGGTGTATGTATCAAAAGAAGACATTTAAATGAATTTATGAAACTTTGTAAAACCACTTGAAAAATAAATCGGAACCAGGTGCATTTTACAAAGGCCATACTCAGTACAAATGAGACAAAACTATCAATGGAACTATGCAGCTTGGTTTTTTAAAGGTCTGACTCTGAACATGTGTCAGGGAAAACATCTAAAATGTTAGCACCAGTTTATGAAACAATCCTTAACTCTATTCTTTGGTATTTATATTTTCAAAAAGAAGGACCATGAGGAAGACTGTACTGTGAATTATAATCTGCATAAGTGTTATGTGTATTCTCTCATTCACAGCACAGCCAAGACACAGGAGGTTTTTTAGGACTCTACATAGAAACTCCTTTTTCAAGTGAATTGCAGTGCAAGATAACTAGATCTGCCTACTCTGTTGCTATTTCCTAGGGTCGCCATGCTAGCAAGGATGAAATCACTGCTTCTGCTTACCAGGCAGTCATTTTGGACCAACAATATAACGATGAACCTGTGCAGGTGCGGGTGACCATGGGCAAAGAACCTGCTCACCTTATGGCCATTTTCAAGGGGCGCATGGTGGTCTATACGGTAAGTACGGAAAGCTTGCTTTCTCTCTCATCCCCTAAGGAAGGGCAAAACGTGTGACTCATAGTAATCGGGTTGGAGGGGCCCCCGGTGGTGCGGTGGGTTAAAGCACTGAGCTGCTGAACTTGCTGATCAAGAGGTTGGCGGTTCGAATCTGGAGAGCAAGGTGAGCTCCCACTGTTAGGCCCAGCTTCTGCCAGCCTAGCAGTTCAAAAACAAGTAAATGTGAGTAGATCAATAAGTACCACTTCAGTGGGAAGGTAACAGCGCTCCATGCAGTCATGCTGGCCACATGACTTTGGAGATGTCTATGGACAATGCCAGCTCCTTGGCTTAGAAATGGACATGAGCACCGCTCCCCCCGCCCCCAGAGTCAGACATAACTAGACTTAATGTCAAGTGGAAATCTTTACTTTTTAATCAGGTTGGAGATGGGTTGCTTATTTATTTATTTATTTGCAATATTTTTACCCCACCTTTCTCACCCCAGTGGGGACTCAAGGCAGCTTTACATACAGGTAACATACAGATGTCTTAAAACACAATGTACACTTAAATAAATACTAAAATAGAATTTAAAAAGTACATTAGAAACAATGCTTAGGCCTTCTTCTTCAGTCATTTTTCTAGTCTAATTACCCCTGTGAACCAGTCTTAGACCTACAGGGGGAATAGGAAGGAGAACAGGCACAATGTAGCAGAATGTGAAAAAAATTACCTTTTAAAAATAGTGGTCCAAAAGAAAATCTTCCAGAACATTGGGATCTGGGAATATAATAAGTTGAGGTTGGGAAAAGTAACATTTCCAAGGTCTGCAACATGGGGAGTTCTTATTTTCCCTTCCTAGATTGATGTTAAAGTTCCTGCAGCATTCTCTATTCCCTTTTATTCTTTATCCAGGGTGGTACCTCCAGAGCTGGCAATACAGATCCAGTGCCCTCTACCCGTCTCTTCCATGTCCACGGGACCAATGAATACACTACTAAGGCTTTTGAGGTGCCTCCCCGGGCCTCTTCCCTCAACTCTAATGATGTTTTTATTCTCAAGACTCAAAGTTGCTGTTACCTCTGGTATGGAAAGGTAGGTTATCATGTCCAAAACTGGCTAGACATTTGCAGACTCAGGTCATTAGCCTGTTCTTGATTGCATTTCTACAAAAATGAGTACAATACAGCTTGGAGAAGTTACTTTATTGGATTTTAATTTCCTCAATTCATCAGTCAAAATCAGGCTGTGTTCTTTATATAATTTTAGTTGTTAAGTCATAATTCGTGTTTATGTGTTGGGTTGTTTAAATTTTGTTAATATGGATGTATTGTTGTTGTATTCAGGCATTGAATGTTTGCCTTTTATGTTTGGAATCCGCCCTGAGTCCCTTCGGGGAGATAGAGCGAGTATAAATAAGGTTTTATATTATTATGTTACTAGCCGTCCCCTGCCACGCGTTGCTGTGGCCCAGTCTGTGTATATGTGTTTTGTATGTATATATGTGTATATATTTGTGTATATGTGTATATATGTGGTTTTTTTTGCATGTGTTGTAATGTATTATATTTTTTTTGGCTTTTAAAATGTCTTTTGCTGCATTTTTCAGTGTTTTTATGAGTGGTGGTCACTTATTGGCCTGATAGGTGTATTGTGTCCAAATTTGGTGTCAATTTGTCCAGTGGTTTTTGTGTTATGTTAATCCCACATATTTATATATATGGTATATTTTTGTACAATGTTGAAAAATTATACACTCAAATACCAAGGAGTTAGACCAGGGTTACAACAGATATGTGGTCCTAACACCATCTATGCAGAGCCAGGAGTAGTGAGTTGCTAGGAAGGAGATTTCTAGAAACTATGATTTTCTGGATTTGATTCCTGGTAAAACGAAGTGGAGTCTGATATCTTACTCACCACAAGTTGGGTATGAATTTCCAGCTGCTACATTGAAGTCTAGAAATATCCTCTGAGGTCTTCTCCTCTAATAACCCACCATGTTCTGCTTCTTTCCCACAGGGTTGCAGTGGAGATGAGCGGGAGATGGCCAAGAACGTATCTGATCTAATCTCCAGGACTGAGAAAGTGGTGATAGCCGAGGGCCAGGAGCCGGCAGAATTCTGGGTGGCGCTGGGCGGGAAGTCTCAATATGCCAGCAGCAAAAGGTAGCACTGGTGCAGAACTTGGGGAGACATTTCGTCACCTTCAGGTGGATGAAATAGGCATAAGTGTGCTCCATGGAGAAATCAAAGAGATTTGTTCTCCTTATACTTGGCCATGATGAGCCTGTGAAGTAAACCCCAGGATCAAATGCTGGGTTGTTTTTTTTTTGAACTATTTTATCTCTGTCTTTTTAGCTTGTTAAATTGTTTGATATATTTTAGTCTTTTGGAATCATTTTATTTATTCAAACAGTGTTACATTTATCAGATTTGTGCCCTGAGATCTCTGGGCAAAAGGCAGGTTATGTTTAAAATAAATAAGAAGCATTAATTCACACAGTTATTAGTATTTTGAGTACGCACAGTCTCTCAAATCCTAACCTTTCTTCTCCAGTCCAAATCTGAAAACACATTAGTGATTTTGTAACATCTCAAGCTACTCATTAGGACACAAATCTAAGTAAGATTTCCACAACATTTAATGACTTATTTGTTGCATTTTAAATCTGCTTCTCTGATGAATGGAAAGTGGTGTGCATGGGCCCCTTTCTCTGTTCCTTTTATCCTCACAACCCTGCTGTGAGGTAGGACAAGTTGAGAGAGTAAGACTACTACTCTGAAGTCATCCAATGAGTTATCAATGCAGCACTGAAGCTGGCCAATCAGTTTAGTTGTGATTTGAAGGCAGCTAATTTTAACTACAGATGGTCTGCATTTTAAACTGTGTTTTTATTTTATTTTATGTGTTAATAGTAATTTTTTATTTAGTAATTATTTATTTATTTCATATACTTGTACTCCGCCTTTCTCACCCCTGAGGGGGGACTCATGTACTGTTTATGTTATATACTACACTTGTAGTGCCTTGTAAGCTGCCCTGAAGCCAAGAAATTAAAAAAAAAACCTGTGCATGTAGCTGGATCATGCATGCATATACTGTTGCTAAAGACTTATACTTCAATAATGGAAAAATAAACATTCACCAGCTATTGTATCAGATGTTTGATGGATGGCAACTTCAAGAACATGTCCGTTTGAAATTATGTTCATCTTATATCAACCTATGCACCTAAACTAAGATTTGGACATAGTATGAGACATTGTGACTCAAAGATGATCATTCTTAGCAAATATAATAAGGCAGTTCGAAAAGAGGAGGACTGTATCACAATCCACTTAGGAGGGCAGCTGATTACCTGGTTTCTTGGAGATCTCTCATTCACCATTCAGCTTGATGACTCTTAACAAATATGCCTAGTCCAAGTTCTTATCTATGTGCCTCCCTTTCTCGTTTTCTTTTCTCCCACTTCGGCCATCATGTTTTTAAAATCCAATAAAACATTTAAAAATATAGAAAGTCATACTAACCTACTTCTCCATCAGATAGCACTATGAGAGATTAGAAAAGTTACTTTCATGTTGCATGGCCTTAATTTAAAACAACATTTTTTGTTTGGGTATAACTATTAACTTTGCATTTAAAAAACCCCATTTGCAATGTGTTCATTCTATATTTATTTACTTGTACTGGGCAGAAGAACCAGATGCAGCACTTGGTTTCCTCTCTTTTTTTCTGTTCAGATTACAAGAGGAGACGCTCTCCATCATGCCTCGGCTCTTTGAGTGTTCCAATCAGACCGGGACCTTCCTGGCCACGGAAATAACAAATTTTACTCAAGATGACTTGGAAGAAGATGATGTATTCTTACTGGATGCCTGGGACCAGGTGGGTTTGAGGAAAGGAGTGAGAAAGGGGATAAACTTCCTTCTATTCAGTCCCTGGGAATATTGCCCTGAGATCATTTTTATTGCTCTGGGATAATTTTTATTGCCATGATTTAATTGGAAAACTGTTTACTTTTATTTTTATTTGCCCATCTCATATACATGCTGAAATTTTCTGTGTTGGCCATAGATAATAGCTTGTCCTCCTCCTCTTGTTGTTTGTCTGATCAT